TAAGAAGGCTACCTTCGAACGTTTCGTTGTGAACTTCTGCGGCTGCATCTCTATAAACAGAGCCACTTGTAGAAGGAAGCCGCCACACACAGCAGCGTCACCAGCATATGAAGGAGGCAGGGCCATGGGACTTACAGAGGCAGATGAGGGGGTGGTGACTGGCGTGAGAGAGGCCCTGAGGGCGCTGACCAGTTCCTCTAGGACCTCTGCAGTGGATGGAAGACGGGGATCCATGGAGGTGTAGGTTCTTGGTCAGGTCTTCTGTCACAAACAGGCCAGAGACAAGAGGAGTGCAGGTAAACAGAAGGGTTCATTGACAATGCTGTAATGGTGAGGATCAAAGGCAGGTGAGTATGAGATATATGAAAATTCTTGGTTTCTTAGCTTCTTGATAATCTGGGTTCTGATTGTTGCAGGAATCCTGGAGATGAACCGGGGCTGAGGAGAATCGGGATCGCGCAGACGTTATAGACCCCTGGAGGTAAGGAAACAACAGGTAAGGAGTCTGGTATTGTTCGGGTAGTGAACGGTTGACCGAACACTGGAATACTGAGTGGAGTGAGAAGATATAGCGGGCTTGATTGGTGATTGCTGGTGCAGGTGATTAGAATTTGGGTGATTGGGATCTGGTGTGTGTCAGAGGAGGTGACTGTGCTGACGTGAGCGATTGTGATGATTTCCTGACACCTACATTTTCATTCTGTTGAATTTTTTAAACAAATATATCTGAATATTCCATTGACTTTGGAGCGTGCTTGGAATTTAATTGTGTGTGTGTGTGTTTGTGCGTGTGTTTATGAATCATTCATTCAATCAATCGATTCTTGATTGTTCTTCTTTCGCTCTGTTTGGAACTATTTATGTTGGTGGAATGTAGATGTAAGTTATATCAGCTATTCGTTTATGGAGCTATTGTATAAAAGCATAATCTCATTTGCAATCGTACTGTTGTTTTGAATAGTGGTGTGTTATTGCTTAAGTAACATGAATACAGATTGCAAAGATAGCTAAACTAAAGATAGAAAACAGTAATTTTACAGAAAGAATAGCATACTTTTAAAAAATGTTTCAAATGAGTTTTACACACACCCACACACACAAACATGAAGTGAGAAAAAGTTACATAAAGTTGAAAGAAAGAATGAATGACTGTTGAGTTCATGTTGAAATGAGATTTTTCACACTGGTAACGGTGACCTCTAGTGACTGTAGTAGTGAGGCATGTAACAAAATTCCAACCTGCTCTGGCCTGTCAGGATATTATGTCTTTCTCTGCGTCCTCAAGGGAGGTGGACTGGAATGTCTTCATTTAATGTTTACCAAAATCAAATTTTGACTAATTTATCTGCTATCCTTTCACTTGTGTTTCCTTCCTTCCTGTTAAGCATTTAAACTGCTTCAGTAAACACAGTTTAAATACATGGGTGGGATAGAACTAGACATTTGATAGTAGTTACATAATCCTTAAAGCTGCAAAACATTTCACCCAATCCGTGTCTTCAGAACAGAATTTCAAGTGTGGCTCTACTTCAGTTCTATGTTGACAATGTAAATTTGCTGATATGTATGCAATCAAAGGTTATTTTTCATTTCTTTGATGCAGTGGACTCGCAGTCATAAAATCAGATTAAGGCAACCCTGGCAACCTTTCTCTCTAAGCTATTAATAAACCAGAATAATTCCCCACTTACAGCGCTGGCAGCCCCAGAATTTACCACAAACCCCATGGGACCAGCTTTAAACAGCATGTCACTAGTCAATCAAATAACCATGGTGACAGTAGAATGAACAATTCCCAGACGCAATCACAAGACGAGAGCAGCTGATTCAGTCTTTGAATGAATTTTAATAATGCAGGGGTGAGGGTCCATCTGTTTGGGGGATGTTGTTGGTAAGCCAGTCAGTTGACTGGTTAACCGACTGCTGACCATAGACTGTAATGTTGCAGACATCATGCGATCGCTGCTGCTGAGCAGACACCACAATGACATACAAAAACCTCCTGACTTACCACAGCAGGATGAGGGACAGAGAAAAGAAACAGAAAGCTAGAATAGGTATAAAAAAAAAGAGAAGTAGAAATGGGGAAAAATCCATAGAACAAAATATAGCATGAAGCTACAGCATCATTCGTGTTGTGTCAGTGGCAGGGAGTGAATACGGTTTTAGATAATATAATCATATGTATATATGAATATATGTATATTTTTATTATTTAAATTGTATTATTAAAATTATTTAGTTGTATACATAATTATTTAATACAAAAATACTTCAGAGAATATTTTTGAGAATTAAAAAATGGCAAACTTTGCCACTGGCTTGAGGGTGGAGCTTACTATATATATATTTATATATTTATATATATATTTATATATTTATATCTTAAATCTAGATAAAATATTTTATATTTAATCCTCTATTTTAAAATAAAAAGAATTATTACACTAGTAATATAGTCTACTCAAACACATTCTGAACAGGAAAGTAGAATATTAAAGCATGTTCGTGTTTGTTTAAGCAAAACAGCCTCATGCTCAGAACAGGAACATAGACGTTTAATGTTTCAGAGTCCACATAGAACAACTAGTTGGAGTACACTCTTAAAAATAAAGGTGCTTAAAAGGTTCTTCACAGCGATGCCATAGAAGAACCATTTTTGGTTCCACAAAGAACCATTCAGTCAAAGGTTCTTTAAAGAACCATCTCTTTACCTTTTTATAATATGAAGAATACTTCGCCACAAAGAACCTTTTGTGATACAGAAAGGTTCTTTAGATGTTAAAGGTTCTTTGGAACCACTTAGAACCATTTAGACAAAAAAGGTTCTTCTATGGCATCGTGAAGCACATTTATTTTTAAGAGTGTAGGACAAGTGAATAGTGTTATGTTCCAGCACCTTAAAGTTATTTCCATTATTCAGTTCAGAAGCATTTTTGGGTGTGCTTGAACCTGTTTTCATTTTTGCGTCTGTGTTTATCTATGAGTGCAAAACTCTTTCATGCTGGTACCCTTAATCTCTCTTTATAAACATCAATTTGGAGTTCCCCTGGCCTGTGAGCTCACCATGGATTTACACAGTGGGAGTCAGCGCTGCTTCACGACGGCTGAGAGGCAACAAAAGAGCAGAACCACTGCCTTTGTTGGCTGGTTGCCGTTGCACTATATACCATCTGCACTAGCTGCCATCTGTTTCGTGTTGCTATAAACTACGCCAAAATATAAGAAAACTTTAGAGAATTACCTGATGTACCAAAAGTGCATGAGCAGTAGAATATCTCTTTGAGGTATGCATGCACTGCTGTATTGCTCAGAGCCATGGTGTGAAAAATGCTGTGAATACATAGACAGAGGCCCCTAATACCGTCGTCGTAAAGCAGTGGTCTGTTCAACATTGGTGCTGTTGTGACCTAAAACTCCAATAAAACGGACAACTTTGCAAATAAGATGCTTAACAGAAAGACTAGAGCTGTGTGAAAAGTCTCTTCTTTTTTCATTCCGCATACAAGTTCAGACAAACGCTGCAGTGGCAATTTGAAACCTCATTGAAAGGAGTTTATGTCCTCTTGGGGAACAAGTTACACATTGTCTATAGCTTAACCATGCATGTTAAATAGCGAAAGGGAAATTCTTAGTTCTTTTCAGGATGTGGTGACCAGTTTACAGCTTTTAGTCATGTATAAATACATAATTTGGAATTAAACACAGGTAGTCTATGACTAATATGGGTCAATGGGTTTTTTTTCTTCTTTTTTTCATTTGACATTTTACTGGGCTACACTTTATCAAAAGTTATGACTTAAATCATACAAAAGATTACTAATCTTTCTAACCACAGCATTCTTTTTCCATTTATGTATTGCAAATTATCTTCTTTTTTTTTTAAGTGCAGAAATGTTTCTTAAGCTTCAAATTAACATATTAGAAGGATTTCCGAAAAATGATGTGACTCTGAAGACTGGAGTCATGACTGTTTCAGAAACAAACAATTCCTCATAGGATTATATTACATTTAAAATATACTGAAATAGAAAACACTTGTTTTGTAAACATATTTCACAATATTATTGTTTTCACTGCAGGTTTGAACAAATAATTGCAGCCTTGGTGAGCATAAGAGACTTCTTCCAAAAACATAAAGAAACCTTACCGACCCCAAATTTTTGAACATATTATATGTGATATAAAAAAAATGAAATGTAGGCTATTATACATAATAGCATAAATATACGTGTACTTTCTGCTGTATTTCTGCAAAGGGATATTACTGATCATTTCTAACTGCAGCAATGGGAGATGTATCAAACTAAATCAAACATGTTGTGTAAATGTCTGACTATTTATGGTCTTTCAACATCCGTCTTCTGGAGAAACAGAAAAGCCTTTGTCAGACCTTGGCCTTTATAAACACTGTCGAAATAACAGCTGAGACGCACAGAAAGCCAGGTGCTCTAACTGATCAACAGACAGCAAACACACACACACACACACACAGCATAGCACTCCCTCTCCTACATATCCACTACCTAGCAATGCGATCTTATCAGTATCTTGGACATTATGACTTTATTGTAGGGATTAATTTGTAACAAATTCCGAGGCAACAGAGGTTGCCCTTGAAAAGGGCATGGTGCCAATACTGAGAAAAGACTTGTTTTTGTATTAGGGTAATTTTTCTTAGCTTTTTTGTTTCTCATACAAAAATAAAGCCTTACTATGCAAACTCAATCCAGTGTTCTCAGGCATTATAGCCTACCTATATTGAAGCCTACCTGGCCGTAGGTTTCTACGACGTAAGTTTGCTTTAAGATTTATTTCAATCGCATTATCGTGTTTATAAAATATGCGTTTGACAGCTTTTTTCATGCTGTCATGTAACCGCCTATGGTGGTGGAGTGTTTCAAGGATCTCGTCGTAGTAGTAAAGGCTACCTCCGCTTTCCGCATGACTACATGATAATGTGAAACAAGCGCCTTCAGTTGAGTATTCACACGCTCTGAGGGACTGAGTCACTGCGCGCGGAGTCTGTGTGAGTGCCAAAGTCACTTGCGTTTATCGCTCTTCCACTCGTTTTATATTACGCGTGTATGGACAGGTTCTGTCTCACCGGGAACATTACCGCAAAATAAACAGCGACCGTTTTCCGAAAACCACGCGAGTGTTTTGTGTACGAGAGGCAGATAGCAAGTGTTCTGCGTTCGTCTATGAACGGTAAGCCAATTTCTTTATATGTTTGCGAATATGTTACATGATATGATGTCAGATCACTCGGTCTTTGAGAAAGGTGTTAAGAGTGTACATTTTTATGTTTTCATACATTTGGACCTGGGACATCTGATACTGGTAACACAATGTGCGCGTGAGTATAATTTTGAAAGACTGTAAAGACGTTTTACGAGCTACTTTTATGTTTTTACAACTGTTTAAACCGATTACAAAAATGTGAACCGAGATGTAGGTGAATAGACTGTGTAGGCTGTTCCATAATCCCTCAAAGCTATTACACACTATATGGGGTCAATTGTCACAGTAATAGCAATACAAAATGTGACAACTTGCCCCAGTGTGATATTTATGAAATATATATTTTTCTATCCTTTCCTTTTCAATGGATGCTGTAGTGTGGTTTCATTGTGGTCACTAGTTTAGAGCTATAGCAAAATTCATTGATATTGAAATTTTAGTTTGAAGGATTAATTTCACAAAAATGGAGTGTTTAAAAGCAATATATGAATCCACTGAACATTTGTTTGATCAAACCCTTAGGTATAGCTCTTGAGACAACTAGCCCCGCTCTCCCATCATTCTTTTGTATTGTCATAAATGGGCTGGGTTTTTGTATTTGCGTTAATAGAAGAAACTGTCAAATGGCTAAAATATGTTAAAATTATGTCAGATAAACCATGTTAATGAGCTTCATGTAACCCATAACATGCAATAACCTTTAATAGGATTAGATTTGAACCGCACACACTTCAACCTTGATAAGATAAACATGCAGTTTTTCAGTTTTCTACATGCATTTCTCTCTATTTTCACATTGTTTTCAACATTTTACACTGACTGCTGTAATATATGAGACAAGAAGCTCCTTGGGGAAATTGGGGCGCAGGTGGAGGAGCAGCAGCCACATATTTACTCTGAGGCTATGAACAAATCAAAGACACACTGAGACTGTGTGCTTTAGTGAAACCCTCGACAATCCTGTAACCCCCCCCCCCCCCCCCCCCCCCCCCCCC